GATGAGGCAAGATTTAGGATGCATAGATGGAGAAGGAAACTGCAGGGGCTGGGCACAATTGAAATGTGGAGCTTGTTCAAGGAACAGCTACTGCGTGTCCTTGAGAAGTATGTACCTGTCAGGCAGGGAGGAAGTGGTCGAGCGAGGGAACCATGGTTTACTAAAGAAGTTGAATCTCTTGTCAAGAGGAAGAAGGAGGCTTATGTAGAGATGAGGCGTGAAGGCTCAGTGAGGGCGCTTGAGAGTTACAAGTTAGCCAGGAAGGACCTAAAGAGAGAGCTAAGAAGAGCCAGGAGGGGACATGAGAAGTCTTTAGCAGGTAGGATCAAGGAAAACCCTGAAGCTTTCTATAGGTATGTCAGGAATAAAAGAATGACTAGAGTAAGATTGGGGCGGGTCAAAGACAGTAGTGGGAAGTTGTGCGTGGAGTCCGAAGAGATAGGAGAGGTACTAAATGAATATTTTTCGTCAGTATTCACACAGGAAAAAGACAATGTAGTCGAGGAGAATACTGAGATACAGTCTATTAGACTAGACGGGATTGAGGTTCATAAGGAGGAGGTGTTAGTAATTCTGGAAGGTGTGAAAATAGATAAGTCCCCTGGGCCGGATGGGATTTATCCTAGGATTCTCTGGGAAGCCAGAGAGGAGATTGCAGAGCCTTTGGCTTTGATCTTTATGTCGTAATTGTCTTCAGGAATAGTGCCAGAAGACTGGAGACTAGCAAATGTTGTCCCCTTGTTCAAGAAGGGGAGTAGAGACAACCCTGGTAATTATAGACCAGTGAGCCTTACTTCGGTTGTGGGTAAAGTGTTGGAAAGGATTATAAGAGATAGGATTTATAATCATCTAGAAAGGAATAATTTGATTAGGGATAGTCAACACGGTTTTGTGAAAGGTAGGTCGTGCCTCACAAACCTTATTGAGTTCTTTGAGAAGGTGACCAAACAGGTGGATGAGGGTCAAGCGGTTGATGTGGTGTATTTGGATTTCAGTAAAGCGTTTGATAAGGTTCCCCATGGTAGGCTATTGCAGAAAATACGGAGGCATGGGATTGAGGGTGATTTAGCGGTTTGGATCAGAAATTGGCTAGCTGTAAGAAGACAGAGGGTGGTGGTTGATGGGAAATGTTCATCCTGGAGTTCAGTTACTAGTGGTGTACCTCAAGGATCTGTTTTGGGGCCACTGCTGTTTGTCATTTTTATAAATGACCTGGATGAGGGCGTAGAAGGATGGGTTAGCAAATTTGCAGATGACACCAAAGTCGGTGGAGTTGTGGATAGTGCGGAAGGATGTTGCAGGTTACAGAGAGACATAGATAAGCTGCAGAGCTGGGCTGGGAGGTGGCAAATGGAGTTTAATGCGGAAAAGTGTGAGGTGATTCACTTTGGAAGGAGTAACAGGAATACAGAGTACTGGGCTAATGGTAAGATTCTTGGTGGTGTGGATGAGCAGAAAGATCTCGGTGTCCATGTGCATAGATCACTGAAAGTTGCCACCCAGGTTGATAGCGTTGTTAAGAAGGCGTACAGTATGTTAGGTTTTATTGGTAGAGGGATTGAGTTTCGGAGCCATGAGGTCATGTTGCAGCTGTACAAAACTCTGGTGCGGCCGCACTTGGAGTATTGCGTACCATTCTGGTCGCCGCATTATAGGAAGGATGTGGAAGCATTGGAAAGGGTGCAGAGGAGATTTACCAGGATGTTGCCTGGTATGGAGGGAAGGTCTTATGAGGAAAGGCTGAGGGTTTTGAGGCTGTTTTCGTTAGAGAGAAGAAGGTTAAGAGGTGACTTGATAGAGACATACAAGATGATCAGAGGATTAGATAGGGTGGACAGTGGGAGCCTTTTTCCTCGGATGGTGATGTCTAGCAAGAGGGGACATAGCTTTAAATTGAGGGGTGATAGATATAAGACAGATGTCAGAGGTAGGTCTTTACTCAGAGAGTAATAAGGGCGTGGAATGCCCTGCCTGCAAAAATAGTAGACTCGCCCACTTTAAGGGCATTTAAATGGTCATTGGATAAACATATGGATGATAATGGAATAGTTTAGGTTAGATGGGCTTCAGATTGGTTTCACAGGTCGGCGCAACATCGAGGGCCGAAGGGCCTGTACTGTGCTGTAATGTTCTATGTTCTATGTTCTAAGTACAGTGAGAAGTTTTGTGTTGTGTGCAGATCATACCTTACAAAGTGCATATGGATGATAGAACAAAGCAGAGAATACATGGTCATGGCTACAGAGAAGGTGAACAAAGAGCAAGGCCAACATTAAATTTCAAATTTGAGAGAATTCAGAAGTCTAATAACAGCGGGGAAGAAGCTGTACTTGAACCTGTTGGTACGTGTGTTTCTGTTTTTGTACCTTCTGCCTGGTGGAAGAGGTTGAAAGAGATTATAATCAGCTTGGGAATGATTTTTGATTATGTCAGCTGCCTTCCTAAGGCAGCGAGAAGTATAGATGGAGTCAATGAATGGAAGGTTGGCTAGCTTGATGGACTGGGTTGTGTTCACACCTTTCTGTAATTTCTTATGGTCCTGGGCAGAGCAGTTGCCATACCAAGCTGTGATGTATCTGGATTGAATGCTTTTTATGATGCATCTATGAAAAGTTCCTTAGCTTTCTGAGGAAATTGAGGCATTGTTATGCTTTCTTGAGTGCAACATCAAAGTCAGTGGATCAGGACAGATTGTTGGTGATTATCACTCCTAGGAATGTAACACTCTCAACCATCCACACCTCAGCACCGTTGGTGTAGACAGGGGCATGCTCTCCACCTTGTTTCTTGAAGTCAATGATCAGTTTTTTAGTTTTGCTTACATTAAGGGAGAGATTGTTAACTTTGCACTATGTCACTAAGCACTCTATCTCTTTCTTGTTTTCTGCCTCATCATTGTTTGAGATCCGACCTATGACTCTAGTGTCATCAGTGAACTTGTAGACAGAGTCAGGACAATATTTAACCATAGAGTCTTAAGTCTATAGTGACTATAGTAAAGAGCTGAGTACACAGCCTTTTGGGTGGCAGGGTGGTGGGGAGGTGGCGGGGTGGGGGGCGCAGTGCCAGTGTTGTTGTCTATTCTCACTGATTGCGGTCTGTGGGTCAGGAAGTTGAGGATCCAACTGCAGAGAGTGGAGCAGAAACCTGGGTCTCAGACTTTGGAGATTAATTTGATTGGAATTGGGGGGCTGAAGGTGGAGCTGTATTCAACAAGTAAGAGCCTGATGTAGGTATCCTTGTTATCTTGGTGTTCCAGGGATGACAGTCGGGCTAGGGAAATGGCGTCTCCCATGGTCGTGTTGCGACGGTTGGCGAATTGCCAGAGATCAAGACAGCCTGGGAGGCTAGAGTTGATGTAAGCCATGACTAACCTCTTGAAGCACTTTTTGGTTATGGAGGTCTGAGCCACCAGATGGTAGTTATTGAGGCAAACTACATGAGTTTTCTTTGGCATCGGGATGATGGTGATCTTCTTGAAGCAGGTGGGAACTTCAGGCCATAGTAAGGAGAGGTTAAAGATGCCCCCTAGTACACAAAGGGTCTGAGTGCACAGCCGGGACTCCATTAGACCAAATCCATCATGTGGGTTCAGTCTCATAAAGGCTGGTCTGACTACTGCTGCAGTGATTGGGGGAATAGGTACATCCGAGGTTGTCGGGACAGGTGACACCGTTTCACTGATATTCTGCTTGAAACGAGCATAAAATGCACAAAGCACCATCAGGGAGGCACGTATTTTTGTCTGCTCTTCTGTTCCACTTTGACTTGTAATCCATTATATCGTGTAAGCCTTGTCACAAACAGCGAGTGTCCGTGTGGTCAGTTTGTGTCTCTAGCTTAGTTCTGTATTGCTTCTTGGCATCTCTAATGGCCTTAGGGAGATCGTATTTGGATTTCCTGTAAATGTCAAGGTCGTCTGACTTGAATACCTCGCACCTGGACTTCAGTACACAATGGATCTCTTGGTTTATCCGTTGTTTCTGGTTGGGAAACATTCGGATTAACTTCTTTGACGCCCAGTCTTCTACACACTGACTAATGGATTCTGTAACTGTAGGGGTTTACTCATTTATGTCCACTACTGACTTCTTGAATACGGACCATTCCACCGATTCCAAGCAGTCCCATCGAAGCTCTTCCGCTGCCCCAGATCAGCACTGTACTACCTTCTGTACTGGTCCTCACGTTTCAATTTCTACTTTATAAGCAAGGAGGAGGAGCATAGCATTGTGATCTGATTTTCCAAAATGCAGACAGGGTATAGAGCGGTAGACATCGTTGATGATGGTGTAGCAATGGCCAAGGATGTTTGGACCTCTGGTGGGACAGGAGATGTCTTGATGGCATTTTGGTACTACACTCTTGAGATTGGCCCAGTTGAAGTCACTGGCTATGATGAACAAGGCCTTAGGATATTCCATCTCAAGTCCATTTGTAGCGTTGTATATTTCATTAAGTGCTCTCTTCACTTCCCCCTGAGGTGGGATGTAGACTGCTGTCAGGATAGCGGAGGTGAACTCGTGCAGCAGGTAGTAAGGATAGCACTTTATTGAAAGATATTCTAGGTACGGGGAGCAGTAACTCACCAGGATTGTCATGTCTGAGTACTAGGAGGCGTTGATTATGAGGCAGATACCACCACCCTCTGCCTTGCCTGAGGACGCCACATTGTCTGTGCCATGTATAGAGAAACCCTCAGGTTGTAAAACGCAGTCAAGTGTAGCAGGAGCGAGCCATGTCTCTGTAAAACAAAGCACACAGCAGTCTCTCAGTTCCCTCTGAAAGGTAAGTCTAGCTTTAAGGTCATCTGGTTTGTTTTCAATATCTTGGACATTTGCCAGGATAATGCTGGGGAGGGGGTCTTGAAACTCCATTGTTTCAGTCTCACCTGCAGGCCAGGACATCTTCCATTTTTCCTGGTAAGGTGTCCACTTCTGGTCAATCTCAGGCATCAGTGAGGGAAGTATGTTGTACCAAAAGGTAAGTGTGTGCACTCGATGGGGTCCTGGGCACTGGTCGCAAGTAAATTCAAGAGAATATTGTTAGTAATTTTAACAGACTTAGAATTGAGTTTTAAAAGAGCAGAACGATTATAAGATATGTAAGAATAAGATTTGCTGTCGACAGCTCACAAAGAGTTGCCATGCTTTGGTGCAATCTTGGAATTAACTGCAATCTTGGATTCAGAAAGCATTGGAAATCTGTGCAGAATCCTCTAGACCTTACATTCTTTTGAGGGGTGAGCGTGTTGTTTGTTGGGGGGAGGTTGAGGGGGTGGGGGAAGGTGGTAAGGTGCAGGAATTTGACCCAGTGACATGGAAGGGCAGTGATATGTTTCCAGGTGTGGATGGTGTGTGATTTAGTTCTTGTAGGTGTTGATGTTTCAACAGGCTCAATGGCCTTGATCTTTTAAATGGTGAAGACCATAAAGTTGGGAAGTGCCATGGTATGAGGCTTGGTGAGATGTTGCAGTACATTTTGCATTTAGTGCACATTGTAATTACACTACACTGATTGGGTGGGACTGCTAGTTTAAATTGATAAATTGGAGTGCCATTGAATAGACAACTTTGTCCCAGATGGTGTCAAGCTTCTTGAGTGTTCAAGCTGTACCTATCCGTTCCAATGGAGCATATTCCATCACACTCCTGACTAATAACTTTGAAATTTGGTGTACAGGCTTTGGGAAGTCAGAAGGTGAGATAATGATTACAGAATTCCCAGGC